AGTTAACAAGGAAAGTTTAATATGTAAAAAAAATAAGAGAAAAAAGTATTTAACCCTTTTAAATTTCACCTATTTTGAAAATAGATATACAAAGTTTAAGTTTATTCCAATCTTTAAATTTTGTCTTGTTAGTAAATAGACGCTATATATTTTAATTTTATTATAATTTATCCATAAATTTTATTATTTTTATAAATAAACACCTTGATTGTAATTTTATCTTAATTAATTTTTTTTTGTAAATTTCTTATATTATATTAAGATTAAATTACTAAGATAAAAAAAAACAATTATTTATTTATTTTAAATCACACTTATTTATTAATTTTTTGGTATATATATATTAATTTTATTTTCATATATATTAAAATACCATATAATTTAGAAGAAGAAAAAATCAAATAAAAGGTTTTTTTATTGCTTTTATCATTTTTTTTCTAAACTAATTTTTATTACATTTTGAAAAAAAAATAATTGTAACATAAAAAGAAAAATATCCATGAATGATTGATATTTAAGATAAATAATTTAATTCTAAATTGATAATATAAAATTTTTATAAAAATAATAAATTATTAAATGTCAAAATTAATTAGAATGTAATTAAAGTTGAGGGTGTTTATTTATAAAAAAAGAGTAAAATTTAAAGATTAATTAAAATAAAATTAAAATTCATGATGTCTATTTATAAATTAGATAAAGTTTAAGGGTTGATAAGGATAAAATAAAAATTTATAATATCTGTTTATTAAAAAAGGCTAAACCTATTTTGGTCCCTTATAATAATTGTTTGTTTCAATTTAGTCCCACTTTTATTTTTTGTCTCAATTTGGTCCCTAATAAATTAATTGGTTGCAATGTCGGACTTCCGTCCAAATTATTTAAACGGAGTTAACTGTTGGCCACGTGGATGTCACTTAGATGCATAGGTGGATGCCAAATTTCATTAAATGTTTTGTACCTTGGGTCTTTTTCCTTGCACGATTCACAACCGTGAACTATAATCATCGACTGTTTGTATTTGGCATTCTGGAACCAGAACGGCCTGTTCTGAAACCAGAACGGCCCGTTCTGGTTGCACTATTGGTGTGTTAATTTTGCACCTGGAACGGGCCGTTCTGGTTTCAAAACAAGTCGTTCTGGTTCCAGATGCATTAATGAAATTTGGCATCCACCTATGCATCTACGTGGCATCCACGTGGCATTCACATGGCATCCACATGGCATCCACGTGGTATCCACATGGCATCCACGTGGTATCCACATGGCATCCATGTGGCATCCACGTGACCAACAGTTAACTCCGTTTAAATAATTTGGACAGAAGTCCAACATTACAACCAATTGATTTATTAGGAACCAAATTGAGACAAAAAATAAAACTGGGACTAAATTGAAACAAACAATTATTATAAGGAACCAAAATAGGTTTTTAGCCATTAAAAAAACATTAAGATGATTGATCACTTTTTAAAAAATAAAAATAAAAATAGACACGAATGTGTGGTATGAAAGATGTGCAGACAAGAAGACTTGTCCTTTAGTCTTTTATTTGAACTAGCATATCATTAGGTTGCATGTTTATTATGCTGAAAACAAATACAATTTTTATAAACTTTGAAGCGTGTCAATTCTCATAAGGAACCAAATAACGTTATAACTTTTGCAAAAGGATATATGTGGTGCAACTGTGAAACGCATCTTTATGTCCACCACCATAAATTTAGTGGACTCGTTTCTCACACTTATGTTATTTTATTAAGGTACACTCCCAAGAAGATTACCTTCAAATATTATATATATA